GTTGCCTTTTGTCTGAGTGAATTTGGAAGGACCCCTGTTTGGAGCTCAGTACACAGGTACCGGGACATGTCTACAAGCAGAATTGTCTCACCTGGTGGCAACCTACGTATTGTGTTCTCTGTGGCACCTGCCATCAGATAGTGATTCTCCCAGTAGACAGCTACTCACCTGACTTCCAGCTGACCCTCTTGCCTAAAGGAACTTGAATAAAATCTGTGCCTGGGCTACTGAAGGAGCTGGGCGATTCCCTGGCAACCAGAGGAAACATCTGTACCTGCAGAGCTGCCACTTATGTGGGACAAGTCTCTTACTACAGTATAGGTGAATGACACACAGTGTCAGCAAAAGTTAGGCCCAAAGGAAGGGACCCACTAGACCTAATTATAAGAGAAAATTCCACTGATGCGAAAACATCAAAATAGGACAGAAAGACACACAAAACAAGAATTGAGAATGCATCATCTACGTGCTTGGAGGCCAAGCGCTCAAACCATTTCCAGGCTATTTGCAGACTGCCCCATCATTGTGTATGTGCATGTATATGCATACATGTGCATGTACATCTGTGTTAATATATGTGTGTACGACGCGTGTGAGTGTGTGCGTGTGTGTGTGTGTGTGTGTGTGTGTAGTATTTCTACATGTGAGTGGGAATGAGACTATATTCACATTTGAGTACCAAATACATGCTACTCTAATGCCTCATTGCTCTAGTGGGGCATAGCATTCCACTAGATAGAGAATTAGGTCTTTACTCTGTCAGATTCCAATGACTATGGGCTCGGCCACACAGAACTTTCTTTAGTGGGTATCTCTGTTAAGGCAATACTTAGGACTATAAAACGCCTGTCAGATGCCATCCTACTGAAATATAATTCACAGTAAGTTTTTAAAATACCAGTTTAACCAGCCTAGGAATTTTGAACAGCTTTATTAATTTCAATCGTTTGAATGCTTATTATTAAATGGGAAAGCTTTCATTATTGCCCTGCATACTTACCAGGGAATGAAACGTTTCCTTTCGCTTGAAGTGTTTTGACAGAATTTCTGAAAACAAGAACGGAAGGGCCCCCAGGAGGAAAGCCAGCACACCAGGCAAACCCAATGCAGCTTTTCCTCCTCTCATTCTGTGAGCTCCTCCCTGCACACATCAGATTCCACACAAACCCAGACTGCACTGAAGCTGCATCTCCTCAGAGTCCTTTCCCACAGAGCCCCTTAGGACAGTCAGTTACTTTCACTTTCATAAGAAACTCCTGGGCTTGGAGAGATGGCTTAGTAGGCCCAGTGGTTATGAGTCTGACTGCTCTTTAGAAGACCTGGGTTCAGTTCTCAGCACCCACATTGGGTAGCTCACAACCACCTGTAACTCTAGCTCCAAGGGGTGTGACAGTATCTTCTGTCATGTGCACATACCCAAATACCTGTGCATATACACCATGAAAAAGCAATCTTTAGAAAGGGAAATGAAAAAATAGAAACTTTTACCAGTCTTTACAAGCATCTCAAAATAAATCAACCAATAATCAATAATAATAAATGATAAATCACACAACAAAACCAAACTGTGTTTTTTTCCATCTCACCTTCATTTTAAAGCCAGGGCTTTCTTTGTGAAGTTTACAGAATTCAATGCTGTTCAAAGTGTCTTTTATTCAATACACACCACCTTGAAATCCTGGAAGCATACATTTAATCTTATGAGAGCCCAACATTTTGATGTCATTGCTGAGGCTGGGACTCCTGTTGGCTCAAATGGACTATTCCCTATGCAGAGCAAATCCTCAAGCTTTACAGGTCTCCGGTAGGAAATGGTTTATGCAGAGAAAGCTCAGCTGATCACACACACGCACTCACGCATGCACGCAGGCAGGCACCACACAATGCAAGCTCAGTTAAGCATACACAGAGTGACTGAATAAAGATTTTTAAAGAGCTTCAAAGTCAGCATGTTGTCAAGTTGTCCCTTGGTGACAGGCCACATTACAGGGCACACAGAGCAGAGAACATGGTAAGATACAGTGCCAGACAAGCTTCAAAGATCACCATCTTTTCTGGGTCAGAGTAAAACCATGGAGTAGTCAAAATTAATCTTCTACGATTAGCAAGATTTCTTCCTGCTTTGTGTTGTGTTCTCTACCCACAGTTCAGACACGCTGCTTCACCCATGGCTGGTGAACAGTAGCTTTCATACCCCAGGCATGGAGCTTTCTTCCTTGTGAACAACTCACACGCATGAAATCTTGATGAACAAGTTCACACTGTAGTCTTAATGACTGACACAGTTGAACCTGTTTTCTCTGTGAGAGCTATTTCTTTTTAAATATGGGGGTTTAAAGTATTTTTTACTTTAAAAATCACATCAGTTCTAGACAATATTTCTTAGCAATATTCTGAGAAAGAAGCTCAAGATTAAACTTCATTACAAGCTTTGGGTTGGCCAAAAAGGAAAAGCTATTCTAGTTACTCTCCTAAAAACAAGTCAGCTACAAGGGTTTTGTTGATGCTACAAAGAAAACACACGGCACATAACGTAGCCCACCCCGATACTTAAGAGAATAGGACAGGGACGGAAGTCTAGACAGTCTGGTTCTTCTTGGTATAATTTGTCTCATTTTAAAACTTAGATTTATTTATTTTCTGTGCTTGGGTATTTTGTTGCCTATGTGCCTGTGTACCATGCATGTGCATGGTGCCCTTGGAGGTCAGAAGAGAGCATCAGACACCTGGAACCAGAGTTATGGACCACGTCAGTGCTGGGATTCTAGCCTCAGATTGTCTGCAAGAGTAACAAGTACATTGAACCTCTGAGCCACCGCTCCAGCTTTCTCTGGGTATGTTTTTGAAGTGGCTCAAATTATCGATGTCACAGATGTAGACTAGTTAACACTTGTTATGTACAACTACAATTTGAAGAATTGCTTACAGCCAGTTAAAATATGCATGTCTCATCTGGGATATATATCTCGTAGTGGATTCTCTGGCAGATTTGCAAATGGAACTTCTTAAGTGTGCTGATCATTAGCAGTTTAAATAAATGACATTTATTTTGGCAGGGGATTAATTTTTAACGTGGCAGCTGCTCTCAGACAGACTGCTGTCAGGTCGTTAGAGGGACAAACTTCGAAGGAAGGAGTCGATTACTATGTTTTCAAGACCGTCAAGCTTACATTTCCCTAAAAAGAGTGAATAATTTCATCAGTGCTCAGAGACACTGGGTCTCAAAGACTGAGCTGTGTGCATTGCTGTAACCTGATTTCAATATAACCAAAGGTAGAGAAGTGAGCTTTAACAGAGAAATTCCTCAAATATACTCTTTGTATGCAAACTATGAGGTTTATATCGAGGCACAGTAATGTTCCCTAAGACCAGATTGTGGTAACGAAGAGCCCTGATGATTCTTTCCAAAGAGCCCTCAGGATGCTGATTTAACTTACTTTTCAAAAACACAGCCATTTTAAAAGGCAAATCAATCTATATAATAAACAACAAAGACACATTAGACTCTTCTTCCCAGGGAGGGACAAGTGATTATAGAGAGTTGAACAAAGAGTTGGGATGCCCATGTTCAAGTTAAAGTTCAGAGAATATCACCAACTGGGCCTGCACCCGTGAAGACCTGCCCCCAGTTTCCCCCTTTGTAGGATATTGAGAGGTGGTCACTAGTCTTCAGGAAAAGTTCTTCAACTGCCAAACCAACGCCAGACAGGACGGCATTGTCCACACAGTGTCTGCCTAGCGTCCAGCCTGAGCACTCTGAGTTGCTCTAGCTCTCGTTGTTCACAGTTTTACTTTGTCTTAACAGGGACGTATACAAAAGCAATGTCGTCAGACACTGTAGCTCTCCAGGGGCTTATAACTGTGACTCCTGTTGCATCATTGGCTACAGGAAAAGGGAGCTCAGGAGCAGCCTACTGATGTGGCTTGAACTTTGTCTATAATAAACAAGGGATACATCAGATTTCTGTGAAATGCCATGTCACACTAGAAGAAAACTAAAGCATGCATCTACATCCCATTTCATTCTCGTCCAGAGAAGAAACTAACGTTAGCACTGTGGAGTATCTAAGGTTAGCACTGTGGAAATGAGTAACCTGATGTCTTGTAACTACAAGAAGGTGCCCCCAATATTCATATTTTGGCTTAGCATGTGCTGTGTTCTAGATGGATAGGAGCATGGAGTTCCTGTGTGCTATTGTGTAGTAGGTAGTTGTAATTACAATAGTGCTGCCCATTTCAAAAAGCTAGAAGGATTCTCAAATGTTTGTGAGTGAGCAAGTGTGTGTAGGTGTATGTATGTCTGCACCTGTGTGCTATGCATGGAGAGGTCAGGCCAATCTTAGGTATCATGTTTTAGTAGCCTTGATTCTTGGGTCAGTCACTGGCTTGGAACTTGCCAGGAAGGCCTGGATCCTCCCCAGATTTTTATGTGGACTCTGGAAGAGTGACTTGGGTCTTCATGCCTTTGAGGCAGGTACTTTACCAACTGAGCTATCACTTCAGGCCCTCTGAAACTTTTTATTTGATGCTTTAACAGATAAATTTATTTATCCTGATTTAAACATTGTACATGTGGGCACATATAAAAGTATTACATGGAACTCCTTTCATATGTATAGTTGGAATGTTTTTATGTATCAGTAAAAAATGAACCAAAAGAATTAGTAAATGAAAAGGGGTAATAAAATATATACTTGCCAAAATTAAACTATAATCCAAAACATAAACCTTAGCTATTTCCCAAGAATAAGATAGAAGAGTAAATTTAAAAGCAAAGGAAAAAATTTCAATATCATTTTGTAAATGGGCAGTCAAATATCATGGGTGAATTCACTAAGCAATTCTTACTTGAGTGTCTTACAATCCTAGATCCAAATAATGTTTTTTAGTTCTCTTTGTGTCACATAAATCACAAACACAAATGCCTGTGAGAATTGTCCCTTGCAAAATTGAGGACTAGGGGTCAGATACGGATTCACAGCACAACGAAGAAATCATACCTTGAAATCATATGTGGCATCGGGGTTCTCATCACAGGCAATCACTTCTGGTGCCATCCAGTAGGGGGTCCCAATGAATGTGTTCCTCCTGCCCACTGTTCTGTCAAGTTGGGCACTCACTCCGAAGTCCACTAAGGAAGAAAAGACAATTGAATAAGTTAGAACCTAAGGTTGGATGTGAAAATAAAATGGATGTGCATTCCTCAATGAGATTGCATGTAGGCAAGTCTGTGGGGCATTTTCTTGATAGATGGCTGATGTGGGAGGGCCCAGCCCATTGTGGGTGGAGTCATCCCTGGACACAGGGAAGATAAGCAAAGAAACTGAGCAAGAAGCACAGAGCAAGCCAGTAAGCAGCACACCTCTATGGCTTCTGTTTCAGTTCCTGCCTCCTAGTTCCTGTCTCAAGTTCCTGCTCTGACTTTGCTCAGTGATGAACTGGGACCTGAGAGGTGTAGGCTGAAATAAACCCTTTCCTTACCCAAGATGCTTTTGGCCATGGTGTTTAATTACAGCAATAGAAATCCAATTAGGATAGATTTTAACCCATTTTCATGCACATTTTCTGGGACAGTAAAGCCAACATTCTCCATCCCTCAGAGCATTTTCCTCTTCCTCCAGTGAGATTCTGTACCACTAAGCAATAAAACCCATGTCTCACACTTCACTCACTCCTCCTCCTGCCCGTCTCTAGGACACTGAGTATTCCAATAAATGAGCAGGATGCATCTTATTTCATTTAACACAATGCCCTCAAAGTTCACTCAGGTTGTGACATATGCTACAGTGTTCTTCTTTGTTAACGCTGAATAATTTTCCATGTCTACACTTTGTTTATCTTTTCCTCTGGTGATGGGCATTTGGGTCCCTTCTACAATTTTTAACTGTGAATACATACCTTTAAATGGCATGATTAAATCAATAAATACAACAGTGAGGAAATTACAAATTGATGTATTTGACTATACCAAGGCTCCATTGAGACCAAAGGTATGGGTTCAGTAAAAGATAGCCTTTGTGGGCACAAAGGGCAACACACAACTGTCATTGAGACCTAAGGGCTAGTGTCGGCCTGCCTAAGTTTACATACCATTCCTGCCGCTGGCTAGCACTGTGACTAATAAGCAAACCATCTCTGTGTGTGGTTTTCCAAATCCACAATACAAAGTTGAAGATGGTAACACAGAATGACCCTGTTTACAGAAGATAATGGAAGTGTCTCTTGAGAGATGTGGTATACATTATATTCCTAACAAGTGCTTGTTAAATAGCATCAGGAATTCTTCTGAGACTAGATTACCTAGTTTCTATAGATGTAGCCATTTAGCCTGTACAATGTATGCTCTTGTTTTTGAAAGCAAATATTCATGTGATGAATGTGTGGCTTCAAATGCCAATAGAATAGGAAATTATATATTTTAACAAAAGGGAAGGGCAAATGCTTACATCTCTTTGGAAATAAGCAATTCTACGGATAGCCAATCCCTTCTAGGTAATAAAATGAGAGAATTTCCAGATTCTTTTGTATGTGAAAGGACTCTAAAATAGTTTTAGCTCTCAGCCTGACTCAGTCTGGAATCGCCTTGGAATGAGTCTCTTTGAGAGTTTGTCTAAATGGGGTTGGCCTGTGGGAAGACCCAGCCCACTGTGAGTGGCTCCATTCTTTAGATTTCAGTCCAGGGCTGTCTCTAAGTGGAGAAAGCGGGTACATATGCATTCACTCTCTCTGCTCCTGGCTGTGAGTGTGATGCGACTAGTGTGATGTGAATGTTCTTGCTGTCTAGATTTCCCCCCAGTGACAGACTATAAACTGGAAATGTGAGCTAAGGAAGACAGATCCCTTCATTGCTAACTTCCCTTTTTGTCAGGAGACAGCAACAGAGATGAAACCAGGACGGCTTCTGATGAGGATTTCCCTACCACCAACTCTGGCAGGGTGAAGTGGGGAGGCCAGGGTACACCTAAAATGAACTCAAGAACTCCCTTTGTACAGGAATCATAGGAAGTAATAAAATAAATTTAAAAATAACTCAAGCCTCTGGGAAGTTACCAGGACTTGATTGTTCAAAATACTTTCAAACATGAATATTCTTGATGAAACAAAACCTATAGCCATCCACGCCTCATCACAGCAGCAACTACACACACACAGACTGAAGTGTATGGGACAGCGCCGAGGCCTGTCATTAATTCTACACAATGCTTAACTGTAGGGTTCCAGTTACCACACAAGGCATTCCTCAGGATGAACTGGGAAAATGCTTTGCAAATAGACAAAACATTTTTCCTTTCATCTCTGGGGAAACTCCCCTCATATCCACAGTAACAGATTTACATTAATGTTTTAAAATGACACCAATCGACTCCAGCAGTGTCATGGCTCACTCGTGGGATGCTGTCCATACCTAGTTTAACCTCTGCATTTTCAGTCAGCAAGACGTTCTGCCCTTTAATATCTCGGTGAATTACTTTGTGCTGGTGCAGGTGACTCAGGCCCTGGAGGGATGGAGAGGTGAGAGAGTTAATAGGATATGAACAAAAGTGCAAACACAGTTTTGAATGCTAACAGTCACCCTCAAACTGAACTCATCCAAAGATACTTCTAGGACTCTATTCTTGCTCATTTTCATACACCCATGTTGCTGAGTTACACTGTAGGTCACTATTGGTACCAACTGAAGTACACACATAACATTATGTTGAACAAAACATATCTGATCTGATACCAGTACAGCAAACTGCATGCATAATGATGTCTGTGGGTTCCTACCCATTGGAATTTAAGCTAATATGGCACTGTGGGAAGTAAGATTGCCTATATGGGATGACTTGCAATGGGCACATTAACAGTTTCCATAGAAAAATAACCTGACTTCACCAAATTTAACTTTTGGGAAGGTACTTCAATTTACAAGTTATCTTCAATTTTAATTAAGCACAATGAAACATGTTTCAGGCCAGAAGAGGGCTTTCTCTTTAGACTACATTAAAAAAGAAAAATGGAGAGAAGCTTGGTCAGTCAGGTGTTTGTCTTTTAGCCGGGGACCTGCATTAGATGTCGTGATAACAAAAAGACATAGCACGATACCAGTGCTTACAATGCTGGGGAGGCAGAAATAGGTGGATCCCTGGGGATGGGGGCGGCTCCTGGGACACCCAGCCTAGTAAAGTTGTTGATTTTCAGACCATTGAAAGACCCTGTCTCTAAAAAGAATGAAGGACAGCAACTGAGGGACGATAGCTGAGGTAGCCTTATAGCTTACACACATCACAAGAAGGAAATAGTGTCTGCTTCCTTAGTTGGAGTCTATCATGTGGTCTGTCAGGCACCCAAGTGTTGTTATTTTATTATTTATGATTTTTCTATTCTTTTAATTGATCCATAAATACCACAATAATTATATAAAAGATAAGGCATACATACACACATGTACACATCCACAAGTCACACACACACACACACACACACACACACACACAATCTGATTTTCTTTGTTGATGAACCAGCTTGAAAAGTATGTGAGGAGGTGGTGTGAGGCACTGTTTTGTTGAGTTTGGCTTTTGCTAGGCAGTGATTGGCATTAAATGCCGTCTTTTACAGCACATAAATGTGAGTGCTTGCAAGACTGAGGACCCCTTTACCCTGGACCAAAGTGGTTGGATGGTATAGCAGAGCACACACATGAACAAAAGTCTGTGCAGTGCACAGTGGGTCAACTCTGAAAATTCTTGTAACAAGGGACCTCCAGGTGATGAAACTCTATAGTCAATATGGATAGTGATAAAAAGCATCCCCCACAGTAGGCTCTTCTTTCTCATGTACTGGTGTCTATATGACATGGATCGGTTCAGGGACTCTTGAGTTTATGCCCTTGATCCTGGCCTAGTTTTGTTACTTAGCAACCTTAAATAAATCCTGGGAGTTAAGAACATAAACTTCGTACCTTTATTCTTCTTTAAAATGGCTTTGGTTATTCTGGACCATTTACATGCCCACAAACTTTCTAAAAACTAGCTTGTCCACTAGTATAATTGGAGAAGTTTTGGTTAGAAGCTCAAAAAAACTATGGATTAAGCCATAATGAAGTGATACCTTCATAATTGTGAGAATTTAACTAAGAGGAGGTGGCACACCTTTAGTCCCAGCACTTGGGAGGCAGAGACGGAGGATCTCTGGGTTTGAGGGCAGACTGTTCTACAGAGTGGGTTCCAGGGCTAAACAGAGAAACTCTGTCTCAGAGAGAGAGAGAGAGAGAGAGAGAGACAGAGAGAGACAGAGAGAGAGACAGAGAGAGAGACAGAGAGAGACAGAGAGAGAGACAGAGAGAGACAGAGAGAGACAGAGAGAGAGAGACAGAGAGAGACAGAGAGAGACAGAGAGAGACAGAGAGAGACAGAGAGAGACAGAGAGAGAGACAGAGAGAGACAGAGAGAGACAGAGAGAGACAGAGAGACAGAGAGAGAGACAGAGAGACAGAGACAGAGAGAGAGAGACAGAGAGAGACAGAGAGAGAGACAGAGAGAGAGACAGAGAGAGACAGAGAGAGACAGAGAGAGACAGACAGAGAGAGAGACAGAGAGAGAGAGATCTCTGAGCTGGGTTGCATTGCTATCATGTATTGAGCTTTTCCTTCATTTCCCTTATAGCCATGAGGAAAGAAGTCCTTCATTTCCTTCTGGAGGTTTCCTTCTGACTTGTCTCATGTCATAGCCAATGCTAGATTTACGCTTCATTTTCTCTTTGTCTCCTGCTTAGTCTGGTCTTCTTTAATGACTGCACATCATCATTTTAGATCTTCCTTCTTTCCCAATGTTCATCCACCCACAGGAAAAAATATGTCTATCAAGGCCATACTGCGGACACACAGTGAAATGCAATTTTAACTTCTGCTCTCTTAGAGGAAGACAGCAGAGCTTATGAATAAATTGTGACTGTGGGTCAGATGTAGTAGAATTCCCGATTAGACTGTCATAAATTGGACAGATGTATTAGGATTCCCTATTAGATTCATAATAGCTTCCATATTCGCATCAAGAGAAAATTAAACTAGTCTGAGTGACCTTAATGTGCACAGATGCCTTCTTCCTGAACTGAGATGAGCAAATACAACTTTGTTATTTCTCTGCCTGACTATGAAATTGGTGTGGGAAAGTTAGCAAACAGGCATATCTAACCATCATTTAAGAGGCTAAACCTCAAAGATTTTTTTTAAGGTAGAAGCACTTACAGTAGCTTGTATGCACAGATATGACTAAGGCCACTTTATATGGTGAGGAGGTATTATAATATTAATTACAATGAAATAGACACCTTGAACAACTAACCAGTGTATCTCTTAATCCATTCCCCATTGTGATCTAGTCCAATTTCTAATTGTAAAAAAGAAACGCCATCAAAACAAAATATTTTGCTGTGGAAATCATGCACCGTTAACCTTCCAAATGAAAGTACATATGTCCTTGACCATCTAGAATGGTTCTCTGTTCATTAATGCTGTCCTACCTCTAAACCAGAGTTACCACCATCACTGTTCAAATAAACCACTCATTGATTGTCTATCTGTATCTACATATGTCTTCTATTCATCTTTTATCTGTCTGTCTGTCTTCTATCATCTATCACATATCCTTCTACCTATCATCTATCTTTTCATCACCTGTCTATTTATGACCTTTCTTTCTTTCTGGGAAACACAGCTATGTGTACATCAGGTAGCTTTGAATTCACAATCTTCTTGCCTTAGCCTTCCAAATGCTGGGATTACAAATCTGTACCAATGTCCAAATTTGTTAGAACAGAGCCATTAAGTACATTTATACCACATTTACACATTTCACTAGAAATACTGAAGGGAGTGGAATACCTCCCAAGGCATCCAGTGCTACCTGAAGGCTGTGGGAGGGGGCAGTGGCCCCATGTCACCTACCCGTAAGATCTCCCTGCAGATGTATGCGATCCACTCTTCTTTCAGCGTGTTGCCTTTCGTGTTCTTGATCAGATCAGTGACCGAGCCAGCACCACAGAACTCCATCACCAACTGGCAAAAGAAAAAAAAGGAAACAGCCATTTATTACAGTCATGCTTGGCTGCACTAAGTTGGGTTTAAAAAGAGTACTGCCCTCTAGTTTGTTGTTTCTGAATGCCAGTACTGAAAAGAAAATGCAGTAATCATAAGAGAATATTTAAATCATCATCTTTTCTATTAAATCCCCATGAAAATCATGGAGAGGAAAGCTTACTTTTTTTTTTGTTAATAGTAAGAAGCAAAGCAACATGGTTTTATTTTTTTTAATTTTATTTTCCAGTTTAAATTTAGATAAGAATCAAGGTTGCTTCACAAGTCAGTTCCAGGTCCCTCTCCCATTCCCTCCCTTCCTCCCGTGCCCTCCCTTCCCCCCCCCCCGTTATCCTCTCATTTCTCCAGGGAGGGTGAGGCCCTCCATGGGGGTGTCCATAGTGTGTCATTTCATATAGGGCAGGGCCTAGACCCTTTCCCAAGAGTTCTGGGTGAGAGTGCACCTCACATTGTTCTATTGGAGTCCAAAGTCCGTGTGTATACTTGGGATGGGTACTGATCTGCTGCCCAAGGTTCAATAGATTCCCTAGGCCTCTTCACTGACACCCAGATTCAGGGGGTCTTGATCAGTCCCATGGAAAGCTTACTTTTAATATTGCTGATTGAAGAAGTGTTACTGAACTTGGAGACTTTTTTAAAATAGACTTTTCTCATCCAATACACCGCAGTCAGTTTCTCCTGGCCTCTTACTCGAAAGACATTTGGCATAAACTTTTGGAACTTCAAAAATTGTAATGATTATTTTTATAGGTTTGTTTTTGCTTGCTTATAGTTGTTCCACATTGCTTTGTCCATCTTGACAAGGGACTTGAATAACAGTGAAATTCACATTCAACATGAATGACTGCGCTGCTGACAATGTGTAGACATCGTAGAGTGAGCATTCCCAGACAGTCACAGTTTGCAGGAGCAAAAGTCACATCTCAGAATCCTGATTAATGTGTATTAGAGTCTGCAAAATGTTTATGATATTTTAGTTTTCATAGTGTGTGTACATGTGTATGTATGCTGTGCATGCATATATGTAACACACACAGTACCTCCTTCTGCCATGTAGGTCATAGAAAGCAAACTCAGGTCATCAGACATGGTGGCAAGTATACTAAGTAATCTCACTGGCCCAATATTATTACTGTTTTTGAAATTACTTTGACCAGTATTGTATAGCCAGAAATGAAGAAATTTTCCATTTTCTAAGGCTTGTTTCTTTGTTTTTGTGAAGTAGGGTAGGTCAACAACTCAGATGAAATTGAGACACCATCTCTGTGACTTGAACCTGAAGCTGTACTTTCTCTGTCCAAAGAACCATGGTCCTCTAGGAAGTCCCAAGCTAGGACAACACTACTGCAAGCTGTTTATGTTACTGGTTTGGATGCGACACTGTAAGCTGTCAGATTGCGGGCTATCTGGTTTTAATTAACTCCAGTAAGTGTTCCCAAGAGGTTGGACACATCAAATAAATTCAATAAACAATAAACTCTAATTTAGCACCTTTCATCAAAAAAGCTCCAAGCAGTCTATAAATATAAACTCATTACAACACTCAGCAACTTTATAAAACAGGCAGAGGGTAAGCATTGGTTCAGACTAGAGGCTAGAATTGGGCTCTCCCATTCATTCCCAGGGTTAGAAAAAGCAACTAAGCCGGGCGTTGGTGGCGCTTTAATCCCAGCACTCGGGAGGCAGAGGTGGGTGGATCTCTGTGAGTTCAAGACCAGCCTGGTCTACAAGAGCTAGTTCCACGACAGCCTCCAAAGCCACAGAGAGACCCTGCCTCGACAAAACCAAAAAAAGAAAAAGAAAAAAAAGCAACTAACTCCATTTCATCCTTTCTCTTTTACATAGTCTTCAACAAAAGCCCCCTTAGTTAGACAGGACATTATTTTTTATAACTAATTAAAAAGACTTTAGAATAATTAGTAACCATTCCCTAACCTTATAGGAGAGAAAGAACCAAAGTGGAGTGCACATGTGAGTATCAGCTCTGTCACTGTGTCCTTAAAAGACACCTCCAGGAGCTCAGGGAGATGGCTCAGTGGTGACAGTCCTGGCTGTGGCAGTGTGCAGATCCTGGCTTCAGGACCCATGGAAATGCAGATGGGTTTGGTGACCCACCTGTAAGTCCAGCCTCAGAAGATGGAGATGAGATCTCCAGACAGCTGCCTAGCAGACCAGACACATCAGTGAGCTCTGTGTTTGACTGACAGATTCTGCCTCAATGAATAATGTCTAAGAGACATTCTGGGTGATGATGCGACACACATGCAAAACAGACACCATACAGACTTGTACACGCACACACACACACACAAACACATACAGAAAAAAAGAAAAAAATACCTACTGGGCACAAAATCTTTAGGCAGAAATTAAACTATGCAGCTGTGTTTCTTTTTCTCCACATTCTGGGTAGATTGTTAAAAAAAATTCATAAAATGGTGCTGAGCATGCAGCTCAGTTGGCAGCATGCTTGTCTAGTGTGCGCAAGCCCTAGGTTCGATCCTCAGCAGCACCTGTAAGCTGCATGTTTTGGAGATGGAGCAGGAAGATCATATGTCCAAGGATAGTCCCTATCACACAGTGTGTTTGAGGCCAGCCCGGGCTACAAGAGACCCTGACTCAAAAGAAAACAACAACAAAAACCCATGAAGTGAATTTCATGGGTGAGTTCCCAGAGCCCGCTCTGATCTGACTTACAGTTGGAGGTATAGAATAAGCTATGTTCCAACTGGGAAGAGCTGAAAGTCAAAGACCACAGAATCACATCAAGGATTCAGGGGTCAGCTTGACATGCTGCAGTCAGAGATCAAATAATTGATATAACGCATAATGACGCCAAAGCAATGGTGTTGCCTAGAAACACAGAATGTAATAATAAAGCCACTCACAAAGAATAAGACTGCCACAATGAGAAGAAAGGAAGGAACTAAGTGACATAATGAAGTCAAGTGAAAACAAAGACATCGCTGGCGGTTGTCCTAGCATTGCTGTCCTTGCACACGTACACATGCTGGAGTACCCGCAGGAGCACATGTGTGGAGAGGAAGGAGGGCAGCGAATGTTCCACAGCTCTTGCCTTGTTCTCTTGAGATGCGGTCTCTCACTGAACCTGGAGCTCCCTGGGGTTTTGTTACACAGGGACAGAAAGCCCCAAGGATCAGACTTTGGGTCCCCCCTACCCCACCCCTCAGCAATGGGCTTAGAGGTGTGCATAGCCATGCCTAACTTTGTTTCCCCTATTATTTATTCTCTTTTATCAATTGGTCCTTTACAGGGCTGCCCAAACTTTTAATAAAACAGTTAATTCTGTATTTATATGCACTGCTATCTCCTCCCCACTCTCCCTTTGTCTTCCCTGCTACTTGCACTCCTACCCCTCTGTTCCTCCCTCCCCTTTTCTCTCCTCCCCATTTCTTTCCATTCCAGACACCCTGTGGGCAGTCAGGGCTACTATGTGCTTGTGATTGCAAGGGCAATCTCATGCCCAGAATATAACCTAACTGTAACCTTACCCTTCAGCCTTCAAAGTCTGTTTCTGTGTGAATGCTGGAGACCTGAACTCGGTCCTTAATCCTGTACAGTAAGTACTCATACCCACTGAGTCATCTCCAGCCCTGCCCTAGCTTTCTTATATAGCTTTAACACTGGTACTTAAATAAAAAATGTAGAAAACATTTATTCATGAGAGCAAGTATTCTACCTGGTAATAAGAGAGATATAATAGAATTAGAATGTCACTATTTTGTACCTCTTAAGAAAGGAGAAGTCATATAATATGGAAAAATGTTTTAAATTTCATTTTATATTTTGTGTATATGGGTATTTTGCCAGCAAATATATCTATGTACCACATGTGAGCAATGTTCAGGGAGACCAGATGAGGGCAGCTGACCTCCTGTAGGTGGAGTTAGAGATACTTGTGAATTTCCATGTGGGTGCTGGGAATTTAACCTGAGTCCTCAGGAAGAGTAGCCAGTGTTCTTAACTTCTGAGACATCTCTCCAGCCCCATATTGAAAATGGCTTATATGTGATAAGGATATAGCATCCATAATGTATCAAGAACTCTTATAACAGAACAAAAAGATCCAGCTTAAACACGAGCCTAAGAGTTGGGTGCACACTCGACAGGCGGAGGCGAGAAGATTGGAACGAGCTCCAGGCCAGCCTGTGAAAACTTGTCTCAAAAACAGAAATAATAGTTCAAAACTAAGTAAATAAATGAATGAAATGAAGTGAAAACGAGCAAAGAACTTGGATATTTCTCTAAATATATAGAATATATGAATGACCAGTAATGGGATGAAAAGATGCTGATAACTGCATTAGTCATGAGAAAATATAAATCAAAGCCACAATGAGATGTCATAACACCCACACGGATGAGCATAACTTATAGAGTGTAGATCAACTGGAGCTCTCATACATTGCTAATAACTACAGGGTGCAGTAACTTTAGAAAATATTTTGTGATTCCTCATCAAACCAAAAATAAAATCAGCATAAAACTCAGTTGTCTCATTTGCAGATTTATACACAGAGAATTGAAACTGGATGCTCATCAAAAACCCACACAAGAGTCTTCATAGCAGTACTACTTACAGAAGACAAAAACTGGAAACAAAAATTTCATCAACAGATGAACAAATAGATTAAACAAACTGTGGTATGTTCATACTACAGACTATTATTCATCCATGGGGAGGAATGACTGATTCAACATAGATGGATTGTGTAGACATGCTAATGAAGGAGGACAGACAAAAGTGACCATGGGATACGGGGTTCCATTCCTATGAAACAGACATGGGATATGGGGTTCCATTCCTATGAAACAGACATGGGATATGGGGTTCCATTCCTACGAAACAGACACACTAGTGACTCTCTAGCAATGGGAAGCAGATCCAGAGGTTTCCTGGGAGTGAGCACGTGGAGCAGCACTGAATGCCTAATGGATAT